TTCCAAAATGCCTCATTTCTACTGACTACTCTTTGCACTGCAATTCAAGTAGTAGTTATCTTTATTGAGTACTTAACTATGTGCCAGGTAACATATAGATTCTACAGATGAGAAAACAAGGCAATGTAAGTAACTTGGTCAAGGTCACAGCGCTAGTAATAGCTTACTCTGGATTCCAATGCTGGTCTTAGCCCAAAGCTTCCTGCTTGGGATTTATTTAATTTTACCTGTATTACAGTGAGTTGTTTACAGTCTCACCACGTAGAAGTATATAAAAGTGATGGAGAACACTGGCTTTGCACTCATACAAAGCCGGGTTTAATCTTAGTCCTACCACTTATTTCTATGCTCTAGGCAAGTTACTTTAGAAAGGAAGTGTTGATAGTAACCTCCTCGTTTGTGAGAAGCAAACGAGAAATTGAAGATGTAGTAATAGTAATACTTTACCGCTCGCTAGAGCTGTTCAGCGTGAGAAATTGCGTAAGCCAGGGCGGGGGGACACCCACCAGCTGTTCTTACAGTTTTTCTCTGATTCCCAGCATTTTGTGTATGAAAGATGAGGACGTGGAATACAGGTGATAAAATTCAAATAAATCTTTTGCTGCTTGTGAGACGGCTCCCTCTTCTTAATCTCACCTCTGTATCTACTGTAAATTTACTTTTTGTTAACACACTGCAGAGCTGGATCTATTTGAGAAATATTTCCAAGTTTCAGAGAAGAGCCCCACGGTGAGACGCCTCCACAGCGGGGACCCAGCTTTAGAGTAGGGCCTGGCCTACTAATATCCAGCTGATCTTCCCCTGGGGTTCCTTGCCTATCTAAGAGCGCTTACTGTATGCCAAGCACAAGATGCTATTGGTGCTTTCTAAACGTGTGGGGCTAGCATAGTTCAAGATCTATTTTATGTATATTACTCATAGAATACAATCTTCTGGAACAGCATAGCAGGGTCCCAAACTCCAACTTGCAGAAGGTGACACACCTGAGAAGCGCAGAGCAGTGACCTAAAGCCAAGCAGACCGACGTCAGAACCTGAGCTCAGGAAAGCAGAGGATACTGCGGCTTGAGCTGTTCCCCGCCGACTGCTTCTCTGACCCGGGCTTCACGCCCACGCTTTGGAGACTACATTTCCCAGCGCCCCATGCGGGGGGGACTACATTTCCCGTGAGGCCTAGCGGCCCGCCTTGGCTCTCCCAGCCTCTTGGCGCGACACCGCCTCCATCTGGACTCCACTTCCCGGCGGCGCCCGCGGCGGGGCGGGGCAAGGGCGGG